GCTCACAAAATAAAATTGCAAGGACAAAAGGTTTCTAAACGCCACCTAGACATTTACATAAATCTGTTAGTAACAAAGTACAGTGGACTCTGAAAACACTGCTTCATAAAAAGAAAAATCAGCCTGGAAAGCAAGCTTTGCAAATGCTGATCTTTTGAATGCAATTTTCCTGCTTCTTGGCGGGGAGTTGGACTGGATGGCCCATGAGGTCTCTTACAACTCTATGACTCTATGATCTATTACACTATGTAACAAAATCTGAGCAAAAAAACCTGGTTTGAAAGTGCTATTTCCTGTTTAAGTAATTAATAGTAATAATAATTTTATTTCTTACCCACCTCTCCTCGTGGCTCGAGGTGGGGTACAAAATAATTAAAACACATAAACATTGTAATTGTGCGGTCCTTACTTTGAAAGTAGTTGTTCTACTCCAGAAACTCTGTTTTTGTGACTGTCACAAACCATGTTGACTTGGTTGAGATATACATTGAAAAACTAGAGCAAACTATGCTGCAGGATGCCCTGCACAAACAAAGTTTTTGCATTGTCGAAGGCTTCATGGCCAGGATCACTGGGTTGTTGTAGGTTTTTTCGGGCTATATGGCCATTCTCTCCTGACGTTTCGCCTGCATCTATGGCAAGCATACTCAGAGGTAGTGAGGTCTGTTGGAACTAGGAAAAGGGGTTTATATATCTGTGGAATGACCAGGGTGGGACAAAGGACCCTTGTCTGTTGGAGCTAGGTGTAAATGTTTCAACTGACCACCTTTATATTATATGCTAATCAAGGTGGTCAGTTGAAACATTCACACCTAGCTCCAGCAGACAAGAGTCCTTTGTTCCACCCTGGTCATTCCACAGATATATAAACCCTTTTCCCTAGTTCCAACAGACCTCACTACCTCTGAGGATGCTTGCCATAGATGCAGGTGAAACGTCAGGAGAGAATGCCTCTAGACCAGGGGCCCTCAAACTAAGGCCCGGGGGCCAGATACGGCCCTCCAAGGTCATTTACCCAGCCCTCACTCAGGGTCAACCTAAGCCTGAAATGACTTCAAACCACACAACAACAACAACAACAACAACAACAACAACAACAATCCTATCACATCAGTCAAAAGCTGGCCCACAGTTCTCATTGAAATACTAATAAGTTTATATTTGTTAAAATTGTTCTTAATTTTAATTAGTGTATTGTTTTTAAGTGTTTTTGCACTACAAATAAGGTATGTGCAGTGTGGATAGGAATTCATTCATGTTTTATTCAAACTATAATCTGGCCCTCCAACAGTTTGAGGGACTGTAACCTGGCCCTCTGTTTAAAAGGTTTGTGGACCCCTGCTCTAGACCATGGACATATAGCCCCAAAAAACCTACAACAACCCAAAGTTTTTGCAATTGAATAAACTTTTTTTCCATGTTTTTATGACAGGGCCAATTAGGAAATGACATTTATAACACAGGAACAAAAATGTGTTACCTAGGGGCCTTCCACACAGTTATATAACCCAGAATATCAAGGCAGATAATCCACAATATCTGCTTTGAACTGGGTTATCTGAGTCCACACTGTCATATAATCCAGTTCAATGTGGATTTTATACAGCTGTGTAGAAGGGGCCCTAGTGTTATCACTCTTTGGAGTATAATAATAATAATAATAATAATAATAATAATAATAATAATAATAATATCAGTAAAAATGTCTTGGGTGGAAAGGACTCAGGAGTGGGAGAAGTTGAGGAAGCAAAGTTTGGCTGGATCTATACTGCCCTATACCCCAGGAACTGATTCCAAGCCACTTCCATACAGCTGTATAAAATCCACATTGAACTGGATTATATGGCAGTGTGGACTCAGACAACCCAGTTCAAAAGCTGGCTAGCACAACCTGGGGATCACAACCAGATACAGTGAAGACCTCTGCCCTTGTGCTTTGCCACTCTGCTGCTGAATACGGATCCCCGGGTAGAATGCATCTCACCACATTAAAACAGTGGATGTGGTTCTTAATGAGACATGCCACATTATTAAAGGATGTCTACGTCCCACATCACTGGAGAAATTATACTGTTTAGCTGGTATTACACCACCTGATATCAGTTAGGAAGTAGCAGCCAGCAATGAAAGGACCAAGGCAGTGACATCTCCGGCCCATCCTCTGTTCGAGTATCAGCTTGGAAATAGCTTTGCTGGGCCCCTTCCACACAGCTGAATAAACTCCCACATTATCTGCTTTGAACTGGAATACATGGTATAGAATCATAGAATCATAGAGTTGGAAAAGACCTCATGGGCCATCCAGTCCAACCTTCTGCCAAGAAGCAGGAATATTGGATTCAGAGTACCCCTGACAGATGACCATCTAGCCTCTGTTTAAAAACCTCCAAAGAAGGAGCCCCCACCGCACTCAAGGACAGAGAGTTCCACTGCTGAACGTGGTAGTGTGGATTCAGACAACCCAGTTCAAAGCAGATATTGTAGGATTTTCTGCCTTGATATTCTGGGTTATATGGCTGTGTGGAAGGGCCCCGGGATCTACAGAGATCTTCTCAGGAACCCCTCAGTAAGCAAAAGTCCAAAAGTGGCAGGCAAAAACCCGGAACCTCAATCAATGGCTGAGTTCAGATGAGAAACTTCCTCCTGGGCACACAGAAGATGACTTCTGGGTGACTTGGAAGACGCTGGAATCATAGAATCACAGAGTTGGAAGAGACCTCATGGTCCATCCAGTCCAACTCCCTGCAAAGCAGGAAAATTGCATTCAAAGCACTCCCAACAGATGGCCATCCAGACTCTGTTTAAAAGCCTCCAAAGAAGGAGCCTCTACCACACTCCGGGGCAGAGAGTTCCACTGCTGAACAGCTCTCACAGTCAGGAAGTTCTTCCTCATGTTCAGATGGAAACTCCTTTCTTGTAGTTTGAAGCCATTGTTCCGCGTCCTAGTCTCCAGGGAAGCAGAAAACAAGCTTGCTCCCTCCTCCCTATGACTTCCTCTCACATATTGAGGCGCTTCAGCCCCCCCCTCCCCCGAAATTCTCATGGTGGTTTGCAAAAAGGCCTTACTGGTGCATTATTTAAACTGTTATGTTTATTCATATCATGATCTGATGGGATATTGGGAGGTTTTTTTTGGTTGTGTCAGGAGTGATTCCTGGTGTGAGAGAATTGGCCGTCTGCAAGGACGTTGCCCAGGGGACGCCTCGATGATTTGATGTTTTTTATCATCCTTGTGGGAAGCTTCTCTCATGTCCCCCGCATGAGGAGCTGGAGCTGATAGAGGGAGCTCATCCGCCTCACCCGGATTCGAACCTGTGATCTGTCTGTTCAGTCCTGCCCGGCCAGGGGTTTAACCCACTGTGCCATTGGGGGTTAACTAAAAGGTTGCTAGGGTAGACCCTCTTTCACCTCAGACTCAGACCCCCCCCTCGAGTTTTCCTCACTCCCCCTCCCCCCCCCCCCCCCCGAATCAAACAAAATCCATGGTTATCATGATCATGCCTCCTCTACGCCTTCTCTTCTTCAGGCTAAACATGCCCAGCTCTTTAAGCCGCTCCTCATAGGGCTTGTTCTCCAGACCCTTGATCATTTTAGTTGCCCTCCTCTGGACACATTCCAGCTTGTCAATATCTCTCTTCAACTGTGGTGCCCAGAATTGGACACAAGATGCAGAGGCAGTCTTAAGAAAGGGGGCCACAAAGTGAAGTCCACAGCATGCGAGTGTGGAGAGGCACAAAGCACAGACCACGTACTACAATGGAGATTCCATCTGAACACGAGGAAGAACTTCCTGACTGTGAGAGCCGTTCAGCAGTGGAACTCTGTAAATATCTGGGATCAGACCCTGGGATATAAGGCAGTGTAAGAGACCAGGGTTGGAGTCCCAACTCAAGAGAAGGTTTCTGAACAACCTTGAACACACTACACTCTCTGTGTGGTGGAGGCTCCTTCTTTGGAAGCTTTTAAACAGAGGCTGGATGGCCATCTGTCAGGGGTGATTTGAATGCAATATTCCTGCTTCTTGGCAGGGAGGTGGAATGGGTGGCCCATGAGGTCTCTTCCAACTCTTTGATTCTATTGTCTGTGTCCCACCACACGCACAATGGAGGACTTTCTTACAGCGACAAGTGGTCAAAAGACATTTAGTAGTTAGTTTTTAACTTTGTGGTTTTTCATACATTATAACTGTATTCTCAATTTGCTTCTGGCGCGATAAATAAGTAAATATCTGGGATCAGATCCTAGGATATAAGGCAGTGTAAGAGACCTGGGCTGGAGTCCCAACTCAAGAGGCAAGGTTTCTGAACAAACCCTACAAAAGGAAGCCCAGCATAGAATCAGAGTTGGAAGAGACTTTGAAAGTAGTTGTTCTACTCCAGAAACTCCATTTTTGTGACTGTCACACACCATGTTGACTTGGTTGAGATATACATTGAAAAACTAGAGCAAACTATGCTGCAGGATGCCCTGCACAAACAAAGTTTTTGCATTGTCAAAGGCTTTCATGGACAGAATCACTGGGTTGTTGTAGGTTTTTTCGGGCTATATGGCCATGGTCTAGAGGCATTCTCTCCTGACGTTTCGCCTGCATCTATGGCAAGCATCCTCAGAGGTAGTGAGGTCTGTTGGAACTAGGAAAAAGGGTTTATATATCTGTGGAATGACCAGGCCATCCAGTCCAACCCCCTGCCAAGAAGCAGGAATATTGCATTCAAAGCACCCCCTACAGATAGCCATCCAGCCTCTGTTTAAAAGCCTCCACCACACTCCGCGGCGGAGAGTTCCACTGCTGAACAGCGCTCACAGTCAGAAAATTCTTCCTAAAGTTCAGATGGAATCTCTTTCCTTGTAGTTTGCATCCTGAGTTGGAGCCACTGAGAAGCAGAGAATGAGGGAGTGAGCTCTATTGGGTCCACTGTAGGCTCTAACTTGATCTATTCAGAGACTCCAACCCCTCTTGTCCCTCTCCCTGGTTTTACTCCGGGGCTCCCACTACTCACGCTTGTTCTGGGCGGCGGGGAGGGCGGGCTGGACGATCTGCTGCTGCTGGGCTTGCCGCTTGCTCTTGTCCTTGGGGGCCCGCGTGGTCCAGACCCCCGTGGCCAAGCAAAAGGCCAACAGGAGGCACGGGAGCAGCCGCCTCGACGCCGGGCTGCTGGGCATCTTGGAAAGAAAGCTTTGCCTCGGTACCTCTTCTGCTCACCGCACACGTCTGCGGGAAACAAGGGCAGAGCGCTGGGGCCGCGGGGCTTTATATCTCGGGGGGCGAAGGGGGGGAGAAGAGACCAACTTGCATTCAAAGGGAGGAGGGACCCGGCGGGACACCCCTTTGGAACCAGCCCGCGCTCGCTGATTGGCCGCGACGCGCCGGTGACGTCACACGGAGGCACATTCCAGGGCGAACAAAAGAGCGGAGGCTTGACGAGAGGAGGGCTTCTCACTCTTCCTTTGCTTTCTGTTTTTTTGGGTTTCCCCCGCTCCAATGTCTGAAAGTGAGGAGTCGTGTCTGGGAATCAATGGGATCTCTAGCCCAGTCCTGTACATTCTTGGGAGAACTGTGTTGTTGTTGTTCATTCGTTCAGTCGTCTCCGACTCTTCGTGACCTCATGGACCAGCCCACGCCAGAGCTCCCTGTCGGCCGTCACCAACCCCAGCTCCTTCAAGGTCAGTCCAGTCACTTCAAGGATGCCATCCATCCATCTTGCCCTTGGTCGGCCCCTCTTCCTTTTACCTTCCACTTTCCCCAGCATAATTGTCTTCTCTAGGCTTTCCTGTCTCCTCATGATGTGGCCAAAGTACTTCAACTTTGTCTCTAGTATCTTTCCCTCCAGTGAGCAGTCGGGCTTTATTTCCTGGAGGATGGACTGGTTGGATCTTCTCGCAGTCCAAGGCACTCTCAGAACTTTCCTCCAACACCACAGTTCAAAAGCATCTATCTTCCTTCGCTCAGCCTTCCCTAAGGTCCAGCTCTCACATCCGTAGGTTACTACGGGGAATACCATGGCTTTGACTAGGCGGATCTTTGTTGCCAGTCTGATGTCTCTACTCTTCACTATTTTATCGAGACTGGACATTGCTCTCCTCCCAAGAAGTAAGCGTCTTCTGATTTCCTGGCCACAGTCTGCATCTGCAGTAATCTTTGCCCCTAGAAATACAAAGTCTGTCACGGCCTCCACGGTTTCTCCCTCTATTTTCCAGTTGTCAATCATTCTTGTTGCCATAATCTTGGTTTTTACGTTTAGCTGCAACCCGGCTTTTGCGCTTTCTTCTTTCACCTTGATTAGAAGGCTCCTCAGCTCCTCCTCGCTTTCGGCCATCAGAGTGGTGTCATCTGCATATCTGAGGTTGTTAATGTTTCTTCCAGCAATTTTCACCCCAGCTTTGCATTCATCAAGCCCCGCACATCGCATGATGTGTTCTGCATACAAGTTAAAAAGGTTGGGTGAGAGGATGCAGCCTTGCCGTACGCCTTTCCAATCTTGAACCAGTCTGTTGTTCCGTGGTCAGTTCTTACTGTTGCTACTTGGTCCTTGTACAGATTCCTCAGGAGAGAGACAAGGTGGCTTGGGATGCCCATCCCACTCAAGAACTTGCCACAATTTATTATGATCCACACAGTCAAAGGCTTTAGAATAGTCAATGAAGCAGAAGTAGATGTTTTTCTGAAACTCCCTGCCTTTCTCCATTATCCAGCGGATATTGGCCATCTGGTCTCTCGTTCCTCTACCTTTTCTAAACCCAGCTTGAACATCTGGCAACTCTCGCTCCATGTATTGCTGGAGTCTTCCTTGCAGGATCTTGAGCATAGTGATTCCAGCCATGAAAGCCTTCGACAATACAGTTGGAGCATTCTTTAGCATTTCCCTTTTTTGGTATGTGGATATAAGTTGATTTTTTCCAGTCTGATGGCCATTCTTGTGTCTTCCATATTTGCTGGCAAATGGCATGCATCACCTTGACAGCATCATCTTTTAAGATTTTAAACAGTTCAGCTGGGATCCCGTCGTCTCCTGCTGCCTTGTTGTTAGCAATGCTTCTTAAGGCCCATTCAACCTCACTCCTCAGGATGTCTGGTTCTAATTCATTCACCACACCGTCAAAACTGTCAAAACTGGGAGAACTGTAGTCCCGTTCAAGTCTTGGATTGTTTTCACACTGAGATCTTTCTTTCTTTATTTACATTTATATGCCACTCTTCTCACTCCCAGGGGGACTCAGAGCGGCTTACAAGATAGATAGATAGATAGATAGATAGATAGATAGATAGATAGATAGTAGGCCTGGGTAACAACGGAAAAATTTGTTTCTAAAATCGATTTGTTTTTTGGGGGGTTTTGCGTTTCGATTTTTAAAAGAATTCCGAAATTTTTCTTTTAAAAAGTTCGATATTTACAAAATTTCGTAAATTACAAAACAATACGAAACAATTACAAAACAATTACGAATCGATTCGTTAATGGCGGACGCGACCGCGCAATACGCTAAAAAACCTCCAAATGGGACAGGGGGAACTTCTGAAGCTTCCCTCTCCCTCTGTTGTTGACTGTTGGTGTGATATTATAATTTTTTTTCACTGATTAAATAAACAACAACTATAAAACTTGCCCCAGACATGCGGAAATAATAACGAAACGATTTCAAAACGATAACGAAACGAATACAAAACGGATCCGAAACAATTACGAAACGAATTTAAAAATTCGTTTCGTTTTTAAGTTGCTCCTGAATGGTTCGTTATCACTTCGTTATCAAAAAATAACGAATTTTTAACGAATTACAAAATTACGAAAAGAAACCGCCCAGCCCTAATAGGTAGATAGAAAGATAGATGAATAGATGGTCTCCCCACCAAAGTCAACATTGACACTGAAATACAACACCGCCTGAGCTCTGCGAGCGCAGCATTTTTCCGAATGAAGCAGAGAGTGTTTGAGAACCGGGACATCCGTAGGGAGACCAAGGTGCTTGTTTATAGAGCTATTGTCCTCCCAACCCTGCTATATGCCTGTGAGACGTGGACTGTCTACAGACGTCACATGCAACTCCTGGAACGATTCCATCAGTGCTGCCTCCGGAAAATCCTGCAAATCTCTTGGGAAGACAGGCGGACAAACGTCAGCGTGCTAGAAGAAGCAAAGACCACCAGCATTGAAGCGATGGTCCTCCGCCATCAACTCCACTAGACCGGCCACGTTGTCCGGATGCCCGACCACCGTCTCTCAAAGCAGTTGCTCTACTCTGAACTTAAGAACGGAAAACAGAATGTTAGTGGGCAGGAAAAGAGATTTAAAGATGGGCTCAAAGCCAACCTTAAAAACTCTGGCATAGACACTGAGAACTGGGAAGCCCTAGCCCAGGGGTCCTCAAACTTTTTAAACAGAGGGCCAGGTCACAGTCCCTCAAACTGTTGGAGGGCCGGTTTATAATTTGAAAAAAGCACGAATGAATTCCTATGCACGCTGCACATATCTTATTTGTAGTGCAAAAAACACTTAAAAGCAATACAATAATTAAAAAGAACAATTTTAACAAATTTAAACTTATTAGTATTTCAATGGGAAGTGTGGGCCTGCTTTTGGCTGCTGAGATAGGATTGTTGTTGTTGTGTGCTTTCAAGTCATTTCACACTTAGGCTGACCCTGAGTGAGGGCCGGGTAAATGACCTTGGAGGGCCGCATCCGGCCCCCGGGCCTTAGTTTGAGGACCCCTGCCCTAAACGCTCCAGCTGGAGGTCAGCTGTGACCAGCAGTGCTGCAGAATTTGACGAGGCACGAATGGAGGGCGAAAGGGAGAAATGTGCCAAGAGGAAGGCGCGTCAAGCCAACCCCGACTAGACCGCCTCCCACCTGGAAACCGATGCTCTCACTGCGGAAGAAGATGCAGAGCAAGAATAGGGCTCCACAGCCACATACGGACCCACAAGAACACTGGAAGACAACCCTCCTCGGAAAACGAGGGATCGCCTGAGTAAGATAGATAGATAGATAGATAGATAGATAGATAGATAGATAGATAGATAGATATCTTGTAAGCTGCTCTGAGTCCCCCTGGGAGTGAGAAGGGTGGCATATAAATGTAAAGAAAGAAAGAAAGATCTCAGTGTGAAAACAGGGAGAATCTATATAAATAAAAATGTAATGTTCGTTTGCGATATTCACAGAACTCAAAAACCACTGGGGGAATTGACACCAAATTTTGACACAAGACACCTAACAACCAAATGTATGTCCTTCATTCAAAAAATTGATTTTGTCATTTGGGAGTTGTAGTTGTTGGGATTTATAGTTCACAGTTCACCTACAATCAAAGAGCATTCTAAACCCCACCAATGATGGAAATGAACCAAACTTGGCACACAGTTCTTCCATGACCAACAGAAAATACTGGTAAGATTTGGTGGGCATTGATCTTGAGTTTTGGAGTTGTAGTTCACCTACATCCAGAGAGCACGGTGCACTCAGTAATGGATATGGACCAAACTTGGCACAAATATTCAATATGCCCAAATGTGAACACTGGTGGAGTATGGGGAAAATAGAATCTTGACATTTGGGAGTTGTAATTGTTGGGATTTATAGTTCACCTACAATCAAAGAGCATTCCAAACCCCGCAAACGACAGAATCGGGGCAAACTTCCCACACAGAACCCCCATGACCAACAGAAAATACTTAAGGCCATCCAATCCAGCTCCCTTCATCAGGGCAAGAAAACGTAATCAAAGTCCTCTGACAAAGAGCCATCCAGCCATAGATATAGATAGACATATATGATTCACACACACCCAGATATAGTTGGGAGGGGTTCCCAACTGACGACATATGCAGAAGACAAGATGGAACTGTCCCATCTTTCCACCAATTCTGATTTCTAACAGAGGTGGCAAAAGTGATGTCTCCTTGTTTAGCACATACACAAGCTTAACCAAGGCAGAAGAATCACAAAAGCAGTACTAACCTAGCAAATCTGAGGAAGTCTAAATGAAGAAATATTTCTCCAGAAGCTGATGGAACTCCCAACAACCACAACAAATTGATTCACAACCTTGGCTCCTTTTCTCTAATCCTGTGACTTTGCTGAACTCTTCTAATATGTTTTCCTTGGTCTTGTTTTTTGGGATAGATCCAACAAAAAGCCCATTGTCTGCCACACAAATGCACACAGGGTGAAAATAATAGTTGTCACTCAATTTCTTTGCTCTTTTTCCTTATACCCTGAATTTCTCCTTCTCTGACTTTTCTTCTTTAGG